AAAGAGCTACTAATCCATTATTTTGGCCAGTTGGTGGTTAAGATCATTTTTGCACAGCACTGTCTAAACGTAAAAATTGAGTCAATCACAGCTGCAACCACATTTATATATACAATCTAATATGTTGCACCTACGAGTAGGTGGCTCAGGACACTGCCTTGAGTCATTCTTTGCAGGAGGCCTATGTTCATACTTGTGTTGGACGGTGACGATGATGATGATATTTGGATTATAATATAAAATAATTGATTTTTCACCAATTAAAAATAATGAGACTGTCATTACTTAAACACTTAATTATTTTTATGCACTCCATCTCTTTTTATTCTTCATTAAGGATACATGTAGATATGATATTAAAAAAAACAACTAGCACAAGCTCACCCCACTCACCCGCAACAAACTGTAACATAATATATCAATATAACTACATTTACACTATATATATAATTATTACACTGCAAAATTAGATAAGTATAAAAAAACATAACCATAACATTGCATTTTCTGCGTTATTTTTAAAGCGATAAGAAGCAATTTCCATTGACGGTATATACAATTTATGACGTTTTCGAGATATCGTGAAACTGTTAGCCGGTTGTTGTGAACTTTACATCTTTATGGGTTTTAATTCAGGTTTTAATATGTGTGTTTGAAAAGTAAACGATTTTGTGAGAATACGTCGGACAAATATATTGAAGATGAGTCAAATCATGAGTACCCTTAACCGAAGATCATGTATGCGTAGGTATATTGTTGTGATAAGAAGAAGAGAGGTATGTCAGGATTGTGCCAAACCGTAGTCTCTGCCTGCCCCTCATGCTGAGAGGTGTGTTATTTTTAATGTTTTAGCTCAGACAGATCTTTCAATTTTGATTTTCCAATATCTTCTTTCATTTTAATTTAAAATGGGTTATATTGATTCTAAACTACGTATATAGTTTTCATGTTATATAATTGCAAATTCATTTTATAACCTAATTTAGATCAAAATTATTCGAGTTAATAAGTATCTTAATATAATTTGGTTTAATAGTATTTTAAGGTCCATGTCAATCTTTATCGAAAATAATAAAGTAAATTGTAATTTGTGTACCAATTCAACAAAATTAATCAAATTATTTGTCATATGACATTGGCCCCTTGGAAACGGGTACCCATTTTTCAATTTTTTTTTCATTTTTATGTTTAATTAATAAATATATAGGTAAAATTGAAGTGTCTGTCTATAATATCGAATCAACTGCCTTTTATTGAGCTGAGGACGTTATTCGCATGTCATTAAAACATGAATTTACAATCTCTGCCTTTGTCCGGGGTAATCTTTGCAATGACTCTAACGGTTAATGAAATTTGATGAACAAATAGACAGCAAAAAAGGAGTGATCTAGATTATATTTTGGCCAATAAATCCCGTTTACATTTAGAATAAAAAAACGCAAGAAGTAAATATTTTCATACCTCAAGATTAAGACCATAGAATAATATAATACATACATAAAGGGGGAGTGGGCGGAGCCCGTGTAGCCACTAATATGTCGCTAACATGTCGATTAATACCTATAAATGTAAAAATAGTCAATCGTTTCCAATTTTCGTGTTAAGCGTCGCTCCATGCAAATTATTTAAAAAATGGCAAATTGTACAATAATTACGTGTCGAAAGAATAGCGGGAAATGGAATTTAAATAAAGGAGACATATCCTACAACCAGTAATTCAAAACTATTTATATTTTGTGAATATTAGAAACAAAAATAAAGAAATATTGATGTGCCAAAAACATTAATCAAAAGTCTAAAATGTGTAAATTCGCGAATGGGGTTTGTAGTAGTGATAATACGACGTAATTGCTCGCATGTGTGCTCCTGGCGACACCGATCCTCGTACAAAATAAGGTTGACAGCCATTCTATAGAGTATTATAGTATTCTATGATTAAGACCTACTTAAAAAGAATAGAAGTACCTACCTAGTTTTAAATTTGTATCTTATTCGGTCGCAAATTCTAAAAGTTATGAATATGTGATTTACCAGAACAGATAAAACGGAATTATAATTACTGCTGAAAGTGGAATACTGAGAACGAAGAGTAGTATGGTGAGAAGAGAATCTACCAACAGTTCTTTATTGCGAGTAGTTTGGAGGGGTAAGGGGCTGGACAACAACAATATATGTCTCATTCACAAGTGCTAATTCTTACAAAAGTTTTGGGGAAATAGAATAGAAGATAGTAAACAAGACAGGTGAAAGGAAAGGGTCGTCTATTTAAATTGGTAAATTTTGACATATCGGTGGCGTGCAGTTTCGTGGTGACTTGGAAGAGAAGGCCAAATTGGCCTCTAAAACGGTTGGCGTGCTCAGCAGAGCGGGACATTATTTCAAGTCGGCACACCGCCTGCAACTTTACAAGGCGCAGGTTCGGCCGCACATGGAATACTGTTCCCATCTCTGGGCTGGAGCTCCCCAGTTCCAGCTCCTTCCACTCGACCGCATCCAGCAGCGATTCTGGTGTTGCAGTTGTTCATGGACAGTGGTCACTTAACATCGGGTGAGCCGTATGCTCGTTTGCCACCTCTCCTATAAAAAAAATCTATTTATTAACATGTAAAGAGAAAACTTTGCATCCATATTAAGCACATTGCTGGCACGTAGTGTGTGACATTTGGCATTGTTAAATTTTATATGGAGGAGTGCAGAAATTTAAAATGTATGTAATATAATGTGTTAAAAAAATTAAACAAAAATTGTTTAAGTTCATACTGCCAATGTCTCCAAGTAAGTACAAGCATAATATGTATTTTATTATTGGAAGACCAATGTCAAGCACTTAATAGTCTGTGGTCAAACATTCGCACAGAGTAGTAATTTTCGCCGAAGGATATGAAAGTATTGTCAACGTTAAATCACTGACAGGTGGACCAAATAAGCTGTGAAGTTTGTGTTATATCAAATGTTCATTGTTAAATAGTGTGTGGAGTGTATGTCAAGGCAAAAAAACATTTATTTCATATTATGTATATTATATGTGTGTTTTATGAACTAATGTGCAGTAGAAAGTGAAATACAGGCCACTTTAAAAACAAATCTAAAAATTAAACGAATTGGGTCGAATTTCTACCACTTACATACATTAATGGACAAAGACAAGTTGTAAATAAGATTGTAGCTCTAATCGTCTTTGAGACGGTCCTGTTTTCGCAAACTGGTGTTGATTCCGACGTTCCTAAACGTTCTTATAAACGTCATAGTGACGACGTATTACACAGTAGTCTAATTGTTAAGGGTTTGGACCGCGAACTCAAAGGTTATGGATACGAATTCGCTTCCAATGTTCATAGCAACCGGCTCTCATTTCAATCCCAATTTAAAATAAATCAGTTGTTTTACAAAAAAGTCATAATATTTTTAATTATTCACAGTGATGTTGTCAACCAAAATTGCTATTTCTAACCTAAATCCGAAATAATATATATTTAATGTATATGTAAATTTAATTGAACGAACGATTTTATAGTCGATTTTGAATTCAATTTACACTTAAGCTAAGGTTGGTTTTACAGTGCAACAAAATTACGACAACTTACCGATCGGCTAACACCGACAATACTTAAATTGCATGTACCAAACGAACCAAAAGCCAAGAAACTTAAACAAAACATCAATGCATAAAACATGAAAAGATAACTTTCAAAAAAAACATGCTGCGAATTTTACTAAAATTTACGACGGCGGTCATTTGCAAAGATCGAAAATGCAAAATGGCGGCCATAAACTTTTGAACAAACAACAGTGACGTGCCGGAGTAATAAAAACTGGCCTACATCAACAGTTACAAGTTATAAAACGCACACATACAACTAAATCTATATTTATACATTAACCCATACATACACAGAGGCCGAGGGCGTAACAACTAAAAAAAAACTCAACTAATCTTACATTACAACTAAAATAATATATAAAAAGTTATTCCAATACAGGGTTATAATATTACAGGAAAGGTAACTTCACCAAACAAATACCGTTAACTTTAAACAAAGCTAACGGTTTTTGAGTAATTGTGCACAGATAATAAAAATGTTAAATTTGGAATATTTTTATTTGTGCGGGTAAGCCAACCCCTCAATGCCTCATTCCAATATCCAACGTTTCGTTTCGTAACGATCCGTTTCATTTTAAAGTATCCCATTCGGCTTTTTGCACTATAGAACGAGACTTAAGATAACTTTTTTAAATAAGAAAACCGGGCAATAGTGATAGAGGGGAGGGAAAAATTACACACTTTATATATATATATAATATTCAACCTAGCAGTTTTTAAGCATACATATAGATTATGATTATTTCACACATACGCAAACACATTTAGAAAATATTCGCATGCGATTATGATAACTAGGAGACTTTAAAGTTCATTATTTTCGACTTCACTAATTTGAAAGCTGGATAGCGAATGATATGTGATTTAATGGCTTATATTTAAGATCTACATAATATATTAAATGTTGTAGATTTTGAAGCGTGTATACCTAAGTGGACAGTTGGTAGGAATGCGACTCTTAAAAACAAGGCAAGACAGTTTAAACTAGCACAACTACTCAAAAACCGTCAGAATATCACACACTAAAGCGAAGGAATATAAGACATTTCGTAATGTTTTGGCAACCTCGACTGAGCGTCCCGGCACTTTCACACTAAAACTGGCCCTATCGCACACTACACAACGGTAAAAATCCTTTGAACAAACTTGGTCTTATCTTTATACGATACAGACGAAGTCGATCCGCCTCGAAGGACCAACTTGCAATTCAATTAATTTCAAACCTAAAATCACCCGTAACGGACCATCAATACAGTATTTGTAACGCCAATTATTTAAAACAATCATAGAACATAATATGAGACCAAAAGTCCAAGTATTTTGTCCAACGGCCCGCGTGAGTCGCGGCATTTCGACCTCAATTGCCGAGGCAACAAGGGCGACAATCGTTCGCGTAGAGTCACTCGGAGTTGTTGAAGTACTCTGACGCGTTCCCTCGGCATATTGGACACGTTCTGTTGGACTGTAAGAGAGAGAAAAGAATACATGAATAAAACATTGTTGTGTTGGCGGCGTAGCAGAATCCAAATCCATCAACGCATTTTAAACCGTGGGAGTCGTAAGAGTAACTATGGTAAAGCGACCACCCAGTCCATCTGATGTAAAGTGGTTGGTGTATCAAAGATATGCCTCCTCTCTTCCTCCCTCCCTCCTTCCAATAAATCCCGTCAGACAAATTAAAGAGTGCACGGTCGTCTTTTCGAAATGTTTATTAAATAATACTACTACAACTTATTTACGTGGTGGAGCTATGCTACAGTTATATTAGTATAGTTGTAGCACGAATGGGTCGGCTCAATTGAGGTAGGACCACGCTCTCACAGAATACCAGCGTAAAATAGCAGTTCAACGCTGCTGTGTTTCGTATAGTTAGTGTAGAGAACCGGAGATCCATTTTACTGGGATTGAGGCATTCCATCTTAATTCTCAGTGGTGACAACGCATCTGCATTTAATTCGTAATCGAGGATAGATGTAGATGTTTATGGGCCACAGCTATCACTTTCCATCAGGTGGACTGTGTCCCCGTTTGTCACAAAAAAAAAAACTTTTTGATAGAACTAGCCGTAAATGTAATTTTACTAAAATAGAGGAATCTGGTCGTGTATATAATAGCAGAGATTTTAATTCTATTAATTTTCCATTACTCTTGGTGCTAATGCTTTGGCGCATATTATCGGCGAAAATATACTATCGGCAAAAATTATACTTCGTCGCATTCATACTAACCGGGCAGACATTAGAGATTACAAAAATTTGCTCGTAATTATTCTCGGATTTAAAGAGGAATCAATTTCTCGCAGGAAGTCCTGCAGCGATATGTTAACTAAAGATAAAGACCGATTTACACTTCGACAAGTACAGTAGAGAGTTTAGTTACAGGACAGTTGACAGTAAACGGTTAAGTGGGCAGTAGCGTTCAAACAATGTGTTCGTGGCGATTTTAGTTAAGGACATTAGTTCATAGAGTTCGTTAGAGTGTGACGTTTCAAGACTACAGAATTTTTCTGGTTTTCGTTTGAGATGGTTCTAGGATTGCGTCAAGAATTAAATGATTCAGTCAGAGAAGTATTAATGGTTGTTGTTAAAGAAGTTTTTAAGAATTTTTATGAGTGCAGCACCTCGAGCAGGTTTAATTTTACAATTTGAACTTCTACTATTATATAAACATTCGTGTTTTAGATACTACTGTACAAATTTATACGTGATATCTTCCGTTCGTTTTATTATTAAAACTCAATATAAAACGTATAAATATTCAATAAACAGTATCGGACAAACTTTGTGGCGAGTTTAATTATAAAAGTACAATTGTACGTTTTGGCACGCAAACATCGCGTCCTGTTATGCACTGTTATGCACTGAACTAAACTCGCTCGTTTACACGAACGGCGAGTTTAGTTGCGGGGGGCGGGAGACGCGCGGGAGGGCAGCACTTCGCACTTAACTCGCCGAAAAATAGCTCGGCCGGCTATCCCGTTCAACTTAATCGTTAACTTGCTGCTTAACTCGCTTATTGCCGTTCAAACGAGGTTGAAACTTAACTCGCCGGGTTTGCAAGTTAACTCGCTACTGTACTTGTTGAAGTGTAAATCGGTCTTAAAGGTATGATATTTTAATATGCACGTCAATTTTCGCGAAAATTGCATCGCCGCAGCTCCGCGATTTCTTTTGTTAGTACTCTTACACTATAGCTTAAACCCAAGACCATAAATAATACTTTTTTTTAATAACACGGATAATAACTTAAAAAAATAATTTTTCACTGCCTCGTGTGTCTAGTGATTGCAAGCGCCACCACTGGGTTTCTGGGTCAAGACAATAACCAGATGTTAGAATGTTCCTCAAAAAATTCAAGTGTTAGGAAGTTTGTGGTGAAACACCACCGTGATTCGAAAAGCACGTAAAGCCGTTGGTCCTGCGCCTGATCTCCCTCCGGTAGTGTCGCATTGTCACCCCATCGGACTATGAGAGTGAGGTAATAGAGAGAAGACATTATTACTTATGAATCGTGCAACTGAATACCGGTTTACGACCGGGATTTTTAGACTTCCAGATCTCTACCGCAGTGGTCCCTTACGAACCTTCCCCCCCCCCCGTGCACTCACCCGCAGCCACTTGTCGACGCACTTGGCGTGGAACTCGTGCGCGCACGGCAGCACGCGGAGCGTCTGCCGCGCCTCGAACTCGCACATGCACACAACGCACGAAGTTTGCTCGCCTGCGGACAAACACACACACACAAATGAATAAAACTAATTTACATAACTTATCGCGTTTGATTCTACTTATTTTTGATTCCCTACGTTTCGGGTGCTTTGCAGCATTCATGGACACGGGAGACTGAGGTTACTGATGTTCCGATGTCATATTTAAACCCAGAGTTCCTTTACCTCTTAATTATTAACCCTTTGGGGATTGAACCCATAAAATGCCCATGCAATCGCATACGCCTGGCAAAACCCGAGCGGTCGCATGCGACCGCACACACTCACAGCAATTAAAGCAATTAAAACTTTTATTTAGAGACAACTTTTCTATGAAGAAGTTTGGCATTACAAAATCTATACATAATTCTTTATCTTGTGGTTAGACCACAAGATAAAGAATTATGTATAGATTTTGTACAAACAGACAAAAGTCAGGTTTTACTTCATTACAAAAAGATTTTATTGTATTTTCATATATATATATATATATATATATATATATATATATATATATATATATATATATATACAAAGTGCATGTCGGCAGCGTGAAAATCACTATTATTTCTCTATAAATTATATTCACACAAAAACTTTCATTACAATTGTATAATAAAACACTATACCAAAACAATAATATAACAATAAAATAAAAATATATAATAATAAACGCAATAGATGACTCTGGAACGTTTTTTAACTTTGAATGTAAAATTGGGGATCTTAAGATTATCATCACAGTACAAAATACAGATTTTACGATAATATCCCAAAATATTAGAAGTATATATGCCAATTTTGATGACTTTCAAGCAAACGTATCCAACCTTGACCTCAACTCTGATCTTATCATCCTTAGTAAATGCAAATTGAACTCTGATAAACACATCCCTCAGATAATAGGGTATTATTCTTTTCAAACATCTAAACATCTAAATCAATCTGATGGAGTAGTCGCCTATGTCAAAACAGCCAACGTATCCGAGGTCTATTTAAAACATGCGTCTTGCTTGCAGATATCTTTACTTCAACTTACAGTTCTTGGTATTTATCGCTCACCCTCTAATCGTAAAGCTGAGCAATTCATTGACTCATTATGTACTCACCTGGAACTTATTAAAGGAATTAAAAATGTCATCGTTACCGGAGACATAAATATAAATCTTATCTATAGACATGACGAACAACCCTACGAACGCAGTAATAGACACAATTATCTGGATATGTTAGCTTCACAGTGCTTCCTTCCAGGTCACTCTATTCCAACGAGAGGACCTAATTGTCTCGATCATTTCGTACTAAAAATCAATCACGCACATCAAAATGTCACTATTGCTGTACTCGATGCCACTGTCACTGATCACAGTATGATCTTTCTAAAAATATCCTGCTCTGATAAAATAATAATAAATAACAAAACTATAACTAAAATCAATTATGACAAAGCCCTAGACTTATTAAAAACAACTAAATTACCTGATCTATTCGAATACAGTGACCCTAATGTTATAACTGAACTTTTAATAAAAAAACTTCAACAGTGCTTAAAATTAAACACGACTATTACTTTCAACTCAGCGAACAAAAGGATCTTAAAACCTTGGGTGACTCCGGGTATGCTACGCTGCATCAGAAGCAGAAATAGCATGCAAAGAAGGCTAAAACTTGACCCATATAATGAAACTTTAAAAATAATATATATAAAAGGTACCGTAACTACTGCAGCTGTATTTTTAAAAAGTTGAAAAGGAACTATAATCGAGACCAGCTGACCAAACCTCAAAAGAACCCTAAAAAGTTATGGGATACTATAAACGGAATAACCCCACGTAAGTCCCCCAAAACCCATAACCTTGAACTCCTGCATGCAGCTTCGTCTCCAGATTCTCCGTCAGTGAATCATAACACAAGCATAAAATAGGTTTCATCATTCGTCTTATATGATACTGATTGTGCTGAAATATGTGAAGTTGTTAAGTCTATGAAATTAAGTAGCTCACCGGGATGGGATAATATCTACCCTACCTCTTTTCTAAGGCTCACTCTAAATGAAATTTCGCCAATTATTTCCCATATGGCCAACTTGTGTTTCGAATAGGGAATTTTTCCGACAGTACTCAAGCAGGCTTTAATAACACCTATATATAAGAATGGCAGCAAAAGTGACCCCTGTAACTACCGACCAATCTCCGTTCTCTCATCAGTGTCTAAGCTTCTAGAAAAATTAATCAACATTAGACTCACAAAATTCTTGACAAAATATAGCATCATAACAAGAAATCAATTTGGTTTTCAACGAGGTTTATCAACTGAAAATGCTATTCAGGCTCTTACAACTCTAGTAGTAAAAGAAGTGGATTCTGGAAACAAGTGTCTGGGAGTATTGCTCGATCTTAAGAAGGCATTTGACATAGTGTCGATGCCCATCCTGTTAAATAGACTAGAGGAAGTAGGGGTAAGAGGTACTCCTCTCAAATTATTCAAAGATTACCTTACTAACCGAAAGCAGCGTGTTCGAATAGGCAATTACACTAGCCAAGAAGCCACTTTAACATTTGGTGTCCCACAGGGGAGTGTGCTGGGACCAACGCTTTTCCTGGTGTATATAAATAATCTCTGTCTTCTAAAACTATCAAATGTATATGTAAATACTGTATTTTCTTACGCAGATGATACAGCTATCGTGTTCTCTGGCAAATCCTGGTGTGAAGTTAAAATATCGGCAGAAAATGCCCTGGCAAAGATAGCATCCTGGTTAGACAAAAGCCTCCTGACTTTAAATGCTGCTAAGACTCAATATATTTGTTTCAGTAAAAACATCACAACTCAACCCCCTTCAAACTTTAACATAAAAATTCACAAGTGTGGTGACCCGTCTGATAATGACTGCTCGTGTACTATAATAGATAAAGTCACTTATATTAAATACTTAGGGGTTCTCGTCGATCAGCGTCTTTTTTGGCACCTGCATGTAGAATTGACCATGAAAAGAGTGAGAAAGCTGATCTGGACTTTTAAAACTTTACGTCACATTGCGAGTAAAGAGTTACTTACTCAAACATATGTTGCACTAGCACAATCCATACTGGTATACTGCATATCAGTGTGGAGCTCAGCTGCTAACGAAAACTGCTCTACTATGTCTGGAACGAGCTCAAAGGTTGCTGATAAAAGTAATGCTTCTAAAACCATATAGATACCCCACAGAAGATCTTTATCGGGAAGCTAATCTTCTATCAGTTAGGAAACTATACATATTAGACATTGTTCTTAGAATGCACAAATCTCTTCCCTTTGATGTTAAATTGCTCACCAAGAGAAGAAAGTATAAAGTTACTTTAGTTCCCACAGTGAAATCTGACTTTGCAAGACGGCAGTACTCTATACTAGGCAGCACAAATAGTCTGCCTCAATCTACAATAAAATAAATAAGTATTTTAACATATCTCCCCTAAAAAAAATTCTAAGAAAACGGTTTTGGAATGGCTAAAATCAATAAGTTACACTGAGACACAACTGATGCTTAAAAACTAACATATCTTTATTACGTGTAGGTACCCATAGGTCTTATAGCGCATACAGGTTCCAGTTATCGCCAATACTATCACTTAAGGTGAGTATTTGAAAATTTGAAAATATTAAATAACAAATATTAGTTATATAACACAACACTTACGCACAACCAAACTCAAACACACACACACACACACACACACACACACACACACACACACACGCACACACGCACACACACACGCACGCACGCACGCACGCACGCACGCACGCACGCACGCACGCACGCACGCACACACACACACATTGTTTAACAGATAAAAAAATATTAATTACATGTAAACTTGCTTGTTTTAGTGTATAAGTTGTAATTTAGTTTTCTATGTAACTGTTTGTAAAAAGAGCGGTTCTTCCCACCACAGGCGATGTTTTGTCTAAAAGGAAGTTCCCACATCTAATATTTGTAATACACTAAGTTACTGAAAATAAAATATTTGAATAATAAAACACTAGAAAAATCCAAAAATCAACACAACATCCAAATGAAAATGGCGTACGTAATGAATGTAGAATATAAATTAATATCCATAGACTAACTATTTTTTTATTCCACTAGAAGATAGAAAATTTCATATTGATTCTATAATGCCAAGCTTCTTCATAGAAAAGTAGTCTCTAAATATACCATTTTTTTTCCAATTCCAAATCAATTACCATTATACCATTTTATAGGTTAAAGTGCTGTGAGTGGTTCCGGTCATATTTGACCGCTTGAATTTTGACGGAATATCGAAGCGGTCAAATTTGTCCGCTTGGTGTTTGAGAGGCAAATTTTGGTCCGATATACACAGAATGAGCTTATTGTATGTTAAAGTCTTGTCCATCCTTGGGTCTAGCTTTAATTTGATTAATTATAGGAGCCCAAGTTTTCAAGCAGATGATAGTACCCAGCCTCCTTCTATATTGAAATTAGGATGTGCTTCATTTCAATAGCCTCCCGTATTTGTTTGGTATTGGTAGGAATCGGTTTTCTTTTACGAGGATTTGTGGTCTACCTAATCTGATGAAATGGTTACGACGATCTTGAACATGTTCACAGACTGCAGACTTCCTGGAGCGTCGATACGATACTTCCGTATTATAAATAAAATCCTGATTAATCACTTAGCCCATAAAATATATATAGTACGATACTTCCGCATTATAAATAATTCTCTAATGAAACACTTAGTCCATAAAATATAACTTTAATCAGAGCACTTTTTATAATACGGTACTTCCGCATCATAAAGTGCCCTGATTAACCACTTAATCCATAACATATTTATAATACGGAACCTCGGTATTGTAAAAAACCTTAACAGTAATAAAATCACGAGGATGAAGTCGCGGGGAACAGCTAGCCACATTCTATAAAGGTTTATAAAAACGTCAAATATGACGAGGTCGTATTCCATAAATCATTCTTTCACTTAAACATTTTCTATTTTTTATCACTTACACATAACTCTGGACATTGGCTGTTTGACAGAAAAAGCGCTAGGAAGCGCTTGTAAGCAAAATGGCGGTCGTAAGCGGTAAGCGCTGTCAAATCGTAATTAACTATTTTCCTCTGGGACGCTAAGTGAACTTTAACCGGGGAACCTAACCTAATTTAAATATATGATCGTAAAGTATTCATATTAAAAACTAACCAATCATGAATTTTTAATAACATGTATAATATGTTTTATTCATGTCATTATATTACTTGAAACTAATTGCACAAAACAACTTATAAACTCCACTTCAAAACAAACAAAATAAAAAAGCAAAATGGCGGATTGTGTCAGCGCTACTAAAGTTAGCAAAAGTGTCCTGGCCGAAAACTGTATAGCTTCGCCATTTTACTTACAAGCGCTTCCTAGCGCTTTTTTTCCAAACACAGCCATTATTTTTGTGAACCGGTGTTAAAAACCGGTTGGTTTATTAAAGTTTTAAATCTCAACCGCAGTGGGCTTTTACGAAAACAAATATGTATGTTCATCACTCTCCTGATCATTCATCCGAAGCCATTTGTATCGGTAACGAAGCATTGCATCTTATTCCTAAAGGTAAAATTGCACTTGCATAGGATAGGATAGGTAGGAATCTAGTCCGCAGCATCCACTTATCAAGTGGACCGTTGTCATCCATATTAAATAAAAATATGTGTGTAGAACTTGTACCCACACGGCACATGAATGAATACATATTCATTCATTCGTTAACATATCACACAAGTTAAGGTGAATCAAGATCACCTAGCCTGTATATCGAAGTAGAACCCAGTATACTGGCGAATGCAAATGAGGCCACCATATTGTACTGGCGTGCCGCCGTCATATTGTGTCGGATATCCCGCCATATTAAAACAATTTTTAATTGTGTGTAGGCTGAATGAAGCATGTCAGAATTTGTTTTTATTTATTTACATAAAAAAATTGCAGAGCTTAAACAGTTAAATCTGTACGATGAAGAGAATGAGAAATCAAACTCATTCTTTGTAACTGAGGAAGAGTGCTCAGAGCATGTATGATGTCATATACTGGCCAATGTTTTTAAACGAATCACCAGTATGGCATCGATTTATGACGTCATTTTCATTGGCCAGCAACTTTTTGGGTTCTATTTCGGAACACAGGCAAGGGCAAGATCGCTCACACAAAATATAAGAGCAAGTGCAAGTGAAGCAAGGCCATAAGCCCAGTGCTTTTTTCATTTAGTCGTTCGTGCACACATGATTCACGTGAAGGTAAAGGTGAATCAAGGTCACAAGGTCAAGACGTCTTTTTTTTCATTCATTCATTCATTCCTTCTCACACTTAATACATGTGAAGGTGTAGATAAAGCAAGATCATAAGGTCGTTCATCGTTCTTTGTCATTCGTTCGTTCACACATGATTCATTTTATTTTTATGTTTTGTTTTAATTTAATAAAAAAATCAGGTGAAAGTGAAGGTGAATCAAGGTCATAAGGTAAAGACGTATTTTTTTCTACTAATTCATTCGTTTCTTTCACAAGTGATACAGATGAAGGTGAAGGTGAGGCAATGTGACAATGGAAGTCCCACTCACCGTGTCTGGTCTGGTCGCTGTACTTGTAAGTGGGTAGCTGGTCGATCTCGTGGCGCGCGAGACCGCGCGGCTTGGCCTCGCCCAGACGCTCGGCGAGTGACAGCAGCGCCTCGTAGTTCTCGGGCTCGGGCTCCGCCGAGTCGCGCCCCTCGCGGCCCTCACGGCCGTCTCGCCCGTCGCGCGCCTCGCCGTACGGCGACAGCGGGAACATCGCCAGCAGGTTCAGGAACACCTGCCACATTTTACATTCAATATATTAAAACTGATTGTTTATTTCTAATCACAGGGGCTCAAAAAGCAGCAGACAAAGATTGTTTAGTGATTTAGTTCTTAAGCGCGATCATAGATGGCGCTGGATGTTGCTTCATGCGGTGTAGGTTTTTCGATTTTATGACCCTCGGGTTCATACGGCCCACAAAAAAGAATTTTTGTTAGAAAGAAGAATTTTTGTTAGGAAGAAGAAGGTTTGTTAGTACTGTATATTGAAGTTTTATTTCAAATACATACCTACCTCGAAATACCTCGTCATCAAAAAAACCCCCACGTCATTTTTACTATGCTTATCAAAGCACTACTGCGATTGTGTGATGTAACAATGGATCCATTAAAAAGAGGGCCCAAACCATTACCAGGTGGACTGTGTGCTCGTTTGTCACCCTAAAAAAAAAAAAAAATAATACAAAGATAAACAAGATAGTTAAAAGTACGACGGCAGGTCAGAAAGTTCGCGAAACGAAGGGGTTAGAGAGAGGAAAGGAGATATTTTTGTAACTGTCACTACTTGGTGACTCAATACAACTATAAATACCAAGTTTCAGTCAAGTCGGTTCATTAACCTTTGAGATACCACGGCATAAACAAGTCAATCGGACACATGAAAACGCTAAATATGGAGAAATTTGAATGTCGTGTATTAACTTCCTCAGTAAACAACAAAAAACTTCACATATCATTTTTGAAGAAATGTCATCAGTATACAAACAATTTATTCAGACAAGGCAAGGCAACTGAATTGAAAATATTCAACGCTCAGGCTGACCGATTGAGGCAACTTCCTCCAGACATTGTCGAAAAAATTCTGGAAGATGTTCGTTTGAAAAATAACAGATCACAAAAATGACTGGAGTATCATTTACGACCGTTATAAACATTCCACATGACCATCTTGGTATATCTGTGGTCAAAGGCAAGGTGGCGAGAATACTCATACCGCTTCAGTAACTGGGTGTCTAATTTGTCTAATGAGAACAGGGACGAAATCATAAACCAAATCGCAGCTGGGGATGAAACTTGGGTCCATCACTATGAATCTGAGTGGAATCAGGAGTCCATGCAGTGGCATAAAAAACACGCAACACCTAAATTCATGATGTCACAATCGGCTGGAATGTTTATGCCTTTAAGCTATATATAAAGGCATCAATACCACGAGACAGTATTGCGCTACGCTACTATTAGTAAAATTAAAAGATGCGATTAAAGGAAAAAAGAAGGGAAAAGTGGTCTTAACATGTGCTCGTTCTCCACGACAATGCACCCTTTCACAAGAGTCATGATGACTTACACAAGTGCGGCTTCGAAACTTTAAACTACCCTCCGTATAGTCCAAATTTGGCCCCTAAGGATTATTATTTGTTCCCAAATATGAAAAAAGAGCTTTGGAGCAAGAAATTTATAGATGACGAAGAAGTGAAGTCGCCAATTTCTGCCTTTTTGGGGGCCTTGACAACGCATTTTTTTTGACATTATTTGAACGAAGTAAGTTATTTGAACAATCTAAGATGTGTATTAGGGTTAATGAAGAATATATTGAAAAGGAAAAATAATTTAATTTAAAATTTCACCCAGTTTCCCTTTCGCAAATTTCGCGAACTTTTTGAGCTCTCCTCGTACATTAATGTACGTGTAAGTGTACGTGTTAATAGTATTTTATCAGACCCGTTATCAGAAGATGCCAAAAAGCTTTATGTGTTAGTAAATAAGAGATTAAGTAAATAATAAGTTTAGTTGTTAGTATTTATCCTATTTAAGAATTTTGTTGTTTCAGGGCGTCATAATCGCTTCAGCGACAAAGTCCTTTTTCTAAGAATAAAATAAAAGTGTACTACACGTAAACACGTTTGCGTGTGCATGCGCGCGTTGTAAAAGTTTTGTCTGTCTGTCAAACCTAATTTCGAAATGGCTGACACTATTATGATTATGAATATATTGTGAACATATTGTTTTTATGAAATCAAAAAAATTATAAAATAAATGATGATTATATCATTTTACACCAAAATTATAAGTTATGAAGGATATTTTTTAAAGATGTGCTTACGTAAAATTAATAGATCTTCAATTTATTTATTTTTTTTTCCTATATAACACACAGATTTCAAAGGAATAGCAAAAAAAAATTCAGTTTAAAGTGATTTTCAGATACTTGAACTGCTTGTCCACAAAACCACTAATATATAAATCAGCAAGTTATTTTGTTTGAGTTTTACGCTAACGAAGTTGCGGATAATATCTGGATCGTCATCAATCCGGTATCAAATACTAGCATAATCCTAACACTAAAAAAAAACAAATCGTACCTGATAAGTCGGCGGTGGAGGGGGCAGGGATAAGGGCGGTGCCACGTGCAGCTGCGCTTGTACGTGGGGCAAAGCCCCCACTAGACTCCCGCTGCCCTGGAAAGTACATTGTTAATTTAATAAAACTAATTTTACATGTTTTCAGGCAGGAATGGGTCAGCTCGTCCGGGGAAAGACGGTCCCACAGAATACCATCGTGAAATAGCAGCATAATGTGCTGCTGTGTCTCGTGTGATGAGTACAGAGAACTGAATTTACTGGAAACGCAACATACCCATCTTAATCCTCAGCGGTGACAACGCATCTGCATTCTGATTCTAAAGCAAGAACAGAGTGTCTATAGGCTACAGCATGCGCCATCCGCTTATCATCAGTTGGACTTTGTGCTCGTTTGTTACCCTTATTTTACAAAGAGAATTAAACATTTTTGGCCAAATATTTGATTTTTGGCCAAATATTTGATATTTGGCCTAACTAGTAGTCGTTTTAGTCACATTTCTTATAGAATAAGAACGATAAACGAGCGCACAGTCCACTTGATGGTAATGGATGCTGTCGCCTATAGCCATGCCATCAACTGGAGACTAACAAGGTATTAAAAACCAATTAAAATTAAACGCGATAAAATCCGTGAAAGTAGTTTTAATCAATGGGTGCGTTTGGCAGAAAAAAGCTCTAGTAAGCGCTTGTAAGCAAAATGGCGAAACTTTACAGTTTTCAGTCAGGACACTTTTGCTAACTTCAGTAGCGCTGACACAATCCGCCATTTTGCTTATTTATTTTGTTTGTTTTGAAGTAGAGTTTATAAGTTGTTTTGTGCAATATTAGTTTTAAGTAATATAATGACATGAATAGACATATTACACATGTTAATAAAAATTCATGATTGGTAAGTTTTTAATATGAATACTTTACAAACATATATTTAAATTATGTTAGGTTCCCCGGTTAAAACTAACTTCGTGTCCTAAAGGAAAATAGCTACTTACGATTTGACAGCGCTTACCGCTTACGATCGCCATTTTGCTTACAAGCGCTTGCTAGCGCTTTTTTCTGCCAAACGCACCCAATGTGTAGTGTTCGCGTAAACATAAGAATTCATAGCGTTATGAGTAGTTACCTGTGCGTGTATGTGGTGCACGGGGTGCGGTGGCCAGCGCGCCGCGGCGCGTACGTACGGTCGCGCCGCGCGCGAGCCCGCACCCACGACGCCCACGCCCACGCCCACACTGCCCACGCTTCCCACGGCGCCCACTCCACCCACGGAGCCCACGCCGCTGCCAGGCCCGACGCCCACGCCGCCGCCACTACGTCTCTGTACGATACAAGATAACAATATAGTTTCTGGCATATTACAGTATAACGAACCTCAATCCTAAAACAAAAAATACTCTAGTTAAAAATTGTGAAATGTTATTTAAAATTTGCAAAATTATTCCCATAGACATGAAAGTAAAATTCATCATCATATTAGAAGAGCATGGTATGGTAACATTTAAAAAACCTAAGACATATATAATGTCGAAGCGCCAAATTACACAAAGGAGGAAATATCTCATACTTATCTAATAAGGTGGCGTATATATATGATGAAAGCTTAACTAAGTCGCAGCTCAAATCCATCTTGAGTAAACATTATTTGTCGCTGTGTATATAGTGGTGTGTTTCTTTAATTATTTATGTATTTATTTAAGTATTTATAAGTACCAGATATTGTTATTATGGAGTGTAAAACGATAAACTATTGTGTTGCCGACAAACTGGCTTACAGTTTGACAAAATGTAAAATGCAAATAATGTACACTGTTTATAAGAACAAATAAAAAAATATGACGATTTCCTCGATTTGACAATATTTCAAAAATACCATAAAACCAATCGTAAGAGTTAATACAAAATATCTGTTGTAAAAATTTCTTTATAACCATTTTTCAATTATTGCTAAACATAAATAGAAAATATAGTTACCCTCAGCATAAAGTATTCTACCAATCCATCTAACCAGACTTCATGTCTCGACAAGTTCAAACACGTTCAATTTATCATAAGACTATCCAGGAATTCAAATTGTCATAATAAATTGATGTTTATAGCAGTAAACCATTCTTTACAATGTGTTTTTTTGTTAAATTTGCTCACCTTGCTAAAAGGAATCTTATACTAATCTAACCGCCATATAACAAACTTCAATGCAATGATATTATAAGTAAAAAGGTGTAGATAGGTTACCTACACAATATTCGATCTTCAAAATCGGCACATTAACGCACACATAAATAACTAAATATTGCAATAGCACACTACATTACGATTAGACGTCAAAGTAGGATGGCATGATTAAATTTTCGCAAGCTAAAAGAGACAAATGTGATTTGCGACAGTACGTGGTCTTGTGTAGTAGGAACGATGTAAAATAATTAATCAGATATGACATACCGTACAACGTGATTTATGCCTAAAACGCAATTCACTCATGAGTGCACGTAGTAAAAGTAATAAAGTAGTAAAAATGCATTAAAAGTAGGAAAATTAAAAAAATATCATTGATTTTATTAAAAATATATTATCAAATAAAGTGCTGTAATAATTATTTATATACAAACATATATACCACTTCGTTACGCTACAAAAGAAATAAATTGAACTTATTAATTAATAATGACATAGTTAATTTACCCTTCAATAAAACAAGAATTATAGAACTCACTCTAATTCTTTGATCAGAAACAATATCACCCTTTCAACTCACTCCCCTCTCTTTTTCTGAATAAAATATTCATAATAAAAATAAATGAAGTATTGTAAAAAATGAAATATGATTCCATTTGACTTTTGGAAACCTTTCTTGTGTAGTTTGTGCAGTATCTCATCACATATGACGGCATTTTCGGTGGAAAAACAAAACACGAATTACTATCAACGCCGTTGTTGATGACGCGACGACTGAGCTCACTGAGCTCAGTCGTCGTCCTATCGTATCTATAATCTATATACCGTATATACGTCGAGCTCAGCTCAGGTTTGCTAATTAGCATAGTTTTTACGTGCCACTTGCGGTGCGCGTATAAACTATCTACCTCCTTTGCTTATAATATCATTGCTTCAATGTAACAAATTACTTGGTATAACCGATATTTTCTATCTCTCAAACAAGGTTGTACTACAATTGATTTGTGCCAACGTGAAGTTGAAGTTGTGGAGGCGCTGTCGTCATGCCACAAGTGAAATGCATCTCAGCCTAAATCACATATATAGCGTTTAATATATACCAATAACATATATATTTTATATGTTAAACGTCACATTGAATTTTCCACGTTCATCATAAAATATAAAATAAAAATTATTCTACTTGTGGCGCTATTGTCGTTCATGTTAGAAACTAAACTTAATCGTTTATATTAAGGAATGTAATAAATAATAAATAAATAAATCATTACATAGAACAGAAAGAAACATTATCCTAAAAAATTAACTTCCCCGCTATAAAATCTGTTTGAACAACATGGATATGGACTGTATGACAAAAAAAAACCAGAGGTCCTCACAAGTTTTATACTTGATCTGGTTTATTAGTTAACAATAAAAATTTACAGTTCACACTTATTGTAAATGACATGACAACCTTATGTCCTAATCTATATATCACTCAACGCCATCTACACTAGAAAAATCATACTAATTTAAACAAGTCAACACTTCGTGAATGCCTCTCATCATTAGTTTTTTTTTAATCGCAACTTCTATAAGCTTACATAATTTGGTTAATTAAAAAGCAGCAAAAAAAATATGTCGTATGCGGCACATTTTTGGTTGGGGCAAAGTTCTATAGAGATTTTGGGAGACTGTTTTTATGGCGGCTATACACTCTCGACGAGAGCACTCGCCATGCCTGTCGTGAGCTTCTCGCACGAGGCTTTCACGAGTGTTACCTTGTACATTCTCGTTTATTTAGTTACGGTGAGTAACGGCCAGGGGATGGACGCATGATTTCGGACGGATGGATTTTTGTCTTTGTGGTAATGATGCGTGGACTCACACAAAATAGGTTCACTTTGAAAAATTCAAGAAAATTGAGTTTGCGTTCTTGGTACCACATGAGATAAGTTTGTGGTAGTAGGATAACCAAATATACTGTACGCGACAACGTCTTGCGGTAGACTAAACGAAGCGCGAGTGTACAGTGACGCACTCGTGTACATTTGTGAGGGAATGCGAGGCCCTTTGACTCGCGCACCAAAAACCGACAAGAGCGCGAGAGCACGCGAGGCGAGGCGAGGGAAGGCTCAGCGATAGTATCCTGTACACTCTCGTCCTCTCCTTGCCTCGTGGGCCCTGGTCGAGAGTGTACAGCCGCCATTACGTGTAAATACTTACGTGATGGTGATGGGACAAAGCGTGTCTCGCGTGGTGCGGCGCCATCAACTCCAGCGGTGTTCCCCGTGCCTAAAACAAAACATGTGTGCAATTAGATGTACAAGTGAAAAACTTTTAGCTTTTAACGAGAAATTTTTTTTGTTATATCGATCAAAACTTGACTGACTTTCAAGGTGGTACGTAAAATAGATGCTAGATGGCCTTACCAAGACTAATTTAATATAATCGTTAATTTATGAAATTGTGGAGTGTTATGATTGGATTGGATATGATAACTTTATTCAATATGGTTAATTTTATTTATTGAATTTTTTTTAATTTTTTTTTTTGCTTATTTCAACAGTTAAAGCTACATGAACCATCTTTAAAGCACCGCACAAAGAGGAAACCGAGATAACAGGAAACACTGTTTACTGTATTGTATCTCATTCCCTCGCAGGCCAAATCCTGTAGATGTGTATGTTTATCTCTTTTTAGTGTCGCTTTTTCGTTTTATCGACAATCAAATTGAACGATATTTAAAGAAGTTTTAACATTAAAAAAAAATAAACAAAGGCTGACAGTGCTGTGTATTTTAGTATACTCTCCCAGTATGACTGCCTCGTTGGTCTAGTGGTTGTAGTAGTGCGACTGCTGATCATGAGGTCCTGGGTTCGAATCCCGGGTCGGGCCAAAAAAATCAATTATTGAGTTTTTCCGTCAAGAAATTCTCAATAGCTGCCCGGAGTCAGAAAGTTGGCGGTGTCTCACCCGCGTGCCTCGGAAAGCACGTAAAGCCGTTGGTCCTGCGCCTGATCTCTCTCCGGTCGTGTCGGTTTTCCGTCCCATCGGATTATGAGCGTGAGGCAATAGAGAGTGCACCTGTGCTTGCGCATACACTTGGGCACTATAATTCTGTCCTGCGCCGATGGCTAGCCTCCGTTGAGGCTGGCCGCCGTGGCCGAAATTCGGTATGGAGGACATTATTATTATTACTATACCAGTAGTTGTAAAAAAAGATACGACTTTGATCCGTACCTCGGTGGCGAGCAAGAGCGGCGCGTGATGAAGATCTGGAGCCGGCTGCAGAGGAGGTAGCCCACCTTCACCGCCACCCATGACATCCAAGCGACCGCCCTCTGCCCGCTGTGAGTTAACAATCTCATTATCGGCCTGTAAAAGTCTTTTTTATAAAACAGAAGTAACAATCCATCTGATGGTACAGTCTGTTCGCTAAGATAGTGCTGGTACACCCGGAGGCGCAATTGTTGTTTTGCTTTTTTTATAGAAAAGGGGGCAAAAAAGCATGCGGCTCACCTGATGGTAAGTGACTACCGCCGTTCATGAACAACCGCAACACCAGGGTCATTGTCAATCGCAGGTGCATTGCCGGCCTTTTGGAAAGAAGTAAGCTCTTTTCTTGAAGGTCCTTAAGTCGTATCGGTCCGGAAAAATCGCCGGTGGTAAACAATTCCTCTGAGCAGTCTACGTGGTAGATGCGATAGAAAATGCAAAGGGATGCAACATCCCTACGCAGCGCCAGTGAATCGAACCTATCAGAAGGAACTCGGTCGTCATTGGGGTACCCCGGCCCAGAGATGAGAACAGTATTCTACGTGATGTCGCATGAAATACTGTCTCACTCTGCTGAATTCGGGCTTCCCTTCTAAGTGACCACGAAACTCTTCTAGTTCACGAGTACTTTGAAACTGAGGAGATGTTCTTATTAGCGGTGAACGCGCAAACTTGTGTCTTCTGGGTATTGAACTTGACTAGATTTAGTAGCTTTTATTTTATTATTTTTACTGTGTTTGTTAAATAAATGTTTTTCTAATCTAATAATAAAATAAAATATTATTTTAGTATTCTATTTTATTCTTATAGTTATTGTAATAAAATGTGAATATAAATAATAAACACAAGTTAGGTACTAAAGAAAATTTAAATAAAAAATGAGAATAGGTAGGCAAACCTAAACGAAAGTAAAATAAACATTGTTCTTCATCACTCGAAGTGTCAGAGTCATTGCCACCTGTATATATAATAAAGCATTCAATGTGATCACGTTTTAAATCCATACTCAAACAGCATTTTTGTAATTAAATTCACTTAAAATTTTATCATCAGCACAGTGAAGTACTTGAGGCACTCCGCACAAGGACGAAACAGCATTTACTTTATACGTAGCAGAGTTAACAAAAACAAATGTTCAATACGGCATTTCCTTTTAAAATGACAAATTTTTCTGCGGGTGAACGTGTAGCTGCACGCGGCGACCTGTGATGTCACAGCATCGCCTTTGACAAAATGCTGTGCGTACCGAGGCGGCAAGCTACAAAGGCGACCGTATCTATGCGAACAGACTATAAGTGGCAGTATAATCATGAATTGACTGCCTCCGTAGTCTAGTGGTTGAAACACGACTGCTGATCATAAGGTACTCGGGTTAGAATCCCGGTTCAGGTAAAAACAAACTAGTAGTAAAAAAACTACTAAGTAAATCATAATTTTATTTCACTACGCGGAACTTAGCTAAATAAATAGTTCAACATCTTGTATTTTGAATTACCACAAAGTAACGCGTGATTCTACTAATTAGTATACGTTTTATTTAACGTGTGCCTACCTGCGAGCCGGCCAGGTAGTGTGCGTGCGGTGGTGACGCGAAGGGCGCTCGTGGCGGCGGCGGCGGCGCGAACCCGCTGTGGTACGGCAGCCCCGCGTACACGCCACCCATCTGCGCCACGCACACTGTAGCCCCTCCGGCCGGGGAAATGGGGGGGGGCGGAAGCGATACTAACATTTCCTAACAACCGGCTCGAAGGACCAACTAAGACCCACTTTGGATCGGGCCCAAAGGACCAATTTCCTAGCTTTAGTTTATGTAAAAAATTGCGTTAATAAAATAATCAAAATTTCATGACGAGCCGGATTTAAATATTTAACAGAATAAAAATTAAAAAAAAAATTGAAATATACCAAAACAAAGGAAATAAAACTTCTAGTTAGGTAATGTCGCTTTCTTCGCCCCCTCCAGTCAATAATTAGCGAAGATTGAATACAACATTTCAATACCGTAGAAACTTGTAAAATTCGCATGTAGAGTTGTATTCAATCTTGAACAATAAATATGATTTACAAACAAAAGAATACCGTGTACCAAAACACTAGATTAACATATATGGCGCCTTTATACAAAATGTTATTTGAAGCGTTAAGATTTTTATCTCGTTGTGGTAAAAAAAATATTGCTTTAAAAAACTATTGCTTGCGACGTGTTAGGTTTGCAACAGCGTATGATAAAATTAAAAACTATAGGTACCTAAAACAATAACCTCTTTAATAAATATCATTAAGCAATAAAAATAAAGATAGAATTGCAACACGTATAGACATACATACGATATATAGCTTAACCTACACAGAAAAATAAACGTACATATTACAACATTCAAGACAAAAATTGTAAATATATGAAAGTTAGGAAGGAATAAAATTATCGTAGTATCTAGGACTTTACAGTAAGTTACTAAAACATAAAAAAATCTAATCAGCTAATTAAAAAATACGAGAAAAAATCCACTGCACGATTTACGAGCGTGTTCTTGTTAATAACCCCACCCAACTTATAGAATGTAAATACAATAAAAAAAACTGTTATTCATTTTCACATCAACAGAGCTTTAGGAAACAGGCAAGTCTAATGAAAGCGACCAGCCAAATATTTTCATCTCAGAAACCTCTACAAAGTACCAAAAGCTTGAGTTTCTAGCGGCAAACTTAAACAGTGCGGTAAACGGTCTGAAATACTAAACAGATGTGAGGGTAGTCACGCACTTTTCTACCAATGGTAACGCATTGACGCGATCCCATTGGCTGAATCAGCTGGACCGAGCACATCTTTCACCATTTCACGACAGTTTATTTCCGTACACGTAACACGTAGCACATTCACAAGGTTTTATATCAAGGGTAAACGATGCATGCGGTATGAACACGTATAACAATATTAATAATGAAAAATATTATAAATGCTGTTATTAAAATAAAATATTTGGGAAGTCGCAATCGACCGGATCTAATAGAAACTTTGGCCGCGTTGAGGAGTTGCTGATTGCGGAAACTAGTTCCCAGGACTACGAAGGCAGTCGCTACATTGACACTACCGATGGCGCGATATATCCATGCTTCGACATAGGCATGCGTCAATCGTGAATGATTTGGTCATTTCACTTGGATCGCGTGAAAGTATTGATGATTTCAATCACATTCTGTGAACAATCCGGAACATACGATTGACAGGACGTTTATAGCCTGTGACCTATGGTAGACTACTTGCAAAGTAAAAATACTTTGCGAACAGACTTTGTTATTATTACTTAAAGTAACAGATCACAGGATTCTTAATCCCGAAATGATCCATTTAAATGATCGACCCAAATGATGTTTTAGTATGGCGAAACCAGGGGTATGTTCCAAAATAGAACCCAATGTACTGGCCAATGCAAATGACGTCATAAATCGCTGCCATACTGGTGATTCGTTTCAAAACATTGGACAGTATATGACATCACACATTTGCGTCATATTGGAAAAGTGTTGGCGATTATTTTGTCATTTTGCGCTCCAAAAGTCATTATATCCTCCTAATGGAGATACCAGCAACTATTCTACAAGTTTTTGTATTTGAATAAATAAAAACAAATTCTGGCATGCCTCATTTAGTGTACACACAATTAAAAATTGTTTTAATATGGCCGCATATCCGACACAATATGGCGGCGGCACGTCAGTACTAATATCATTTGTATTCGGCAGTATACTGGAAACGATTCGGAACATACCCAATACTTTAACGATCGGGTCACTACAAAACGATCGACACATGTCTAAACGACAGCTATGAATGTTGTACACGTTCGCCAGCGATACGGTCTCCGTTGCAAGAGCATTACGCGCCGCCAGAAGTAACGCATGTACAGTTATTGAATATGAATTCGTGTTGCATGCTATACGCACTTGACACCGACACCACAGTTCACGATGTTATGGCGATGGTGCTCAAATGCGATTCGTTAAACGTGTGTTTAATTGAAAAGATAAAAAAGAGTCTTTCGGAAGTGTGAGATGAATAAAAAAAACATCGACAACTGAATTTGTATAAGGTAGCCGGCTAGAATCGCAACACCTTATTTACACGCGGTTTTTGTTAAGAAACATATGCGGGTAGTTGTGTATTTAAGGTTGTGCGTATCTAGCGACATTGTAAGTACCTAAAATGTCATCAAGCATTGTGCAGATTCAGTCTATGTATTACATATAATTAGGTAATATATATGTATATATATATATATAAGATTTTAATGTGATGCACACATCTATGTTCAGCCTACCGCCACCTTACTATAGCAGCCGTTGTTAACACATCTCAACGCCTGGCTTTCACGCCTTCTCACCGAGCGCATTGTGAACTAAAAATCTTATGGTCTCAATTTAAGGGTATGTTCCAAAATAGAACCCAGTGTACTGTCCAATGCAAATGACGTCATGAATCGACGCTATACTGGTGAATTGTTCCAAAACATAGGACAGTATATGACGTCATACATTTGCGACATATTGGAAAAGTGTTGGCGATTATTTTGTCATTTTGTGCTCCAAAAATCATTATATCCTCCTAATGGAGATACCAGCAATTATTCTATATTTTTTGTGTATTTGAATAAATAAAAACAAATTCTGGCATGCTTTTTGTTTTATTATGGCCGGATATCCGACACAATATGACGGCAGCACGCCAGTACAATATGGTGTCAATTGATGACGTCATTTGTATTCGGCAGTATACTGGAAACGTTTCGGGACATACCCTAAATTAAATTAGTTTTATTAGAATGAAAAATTCGCAGTGCGCCCGTGGAATACGGGCCGCAATCACATGAGCCAAGCCTTTATAAAATCACTAACATAACAGGTGCTTATAAAGTAGCGAAAGTGTTTCTGAGGTCACATTATGCTAAGGAAAGTGTGGTATAAAATATTACAAATCGTAAAATTTAATTCGGTTCGAGTAGGTGTACTGCATAACTGGTCACTGCCGAAGTAAACATTTAAAATGGAATCACTAGAGAAAAAATAAAAACCAATGTTTACATGAAACGATTAATCATTAATTTGTTAATAAACAACCCTATATTAAGTTTTTTTTTTCTTTAAATCCGGAGATTAAAGTAACTGATATGTTGGCAACATACATTTTTGACCTATCAGAACAAATCGTAAAACCCTATTAGATTTTGTTCAAAATATGCCTTTCTGAATAGTATAAACTCTCACGCCTGTCACCCAGAGGGGTACGAAATATATCCATACATAGACATCGGTTACGGATATTGTTAGTTTGGCCAATCATCAATATATCGCCAGTTTTGTCTGGGCGTCCCTTGCTCTCTGACCTCACTTCTGCAGCACAAATTTGCTTTCACTCTTTCTCATTCATTCTATCTACGTGTCCAGACCACCGAAATATTTCTTTCTTTAATCTAATATCATCTTGCAAACGACACTTTTGTCTGATCAAACAATTTCTCGCCTTATAATTCAAAGTCACCACTAACATGCTTCTTAATTAGCGCATTTCTGTGGCATTCATTTTTCTTTCATGCTTCTTCTGCCGACTAACAAGTTTTTTTAATGGAAAGGAAAAATTAATAAGTAGGTAAAATGAGATTAATAAAAACGTACTACATTCGTTTGAGTTTTGATTTTTTATTAATTAACAATTATATTAACAATTGGACGTTGTTACATTAGTTAGTAGGGTCAAAAATGAGTTAAGTATTAAAAAAACCCTGATCCACTATTTTAAGGATTACAGAAATTCCAACAAAATCTCAGTGGAATCAACGTTCAGTTATGCATCAATAAAACCATGTTGTCCAATTACTATAATGCATATGTGTGCGTGTGTGCGCATCGTCTTCCTACAATTTTTTTTATAGGATAGGATGACAAATTAGCACACAGTCCACCTGACGGTAAGTGGTTGCTGTGGCCCATAGACATCTACATCTATCCTCGATTACGAATCAAAATGCAGATGCGTTGTCCGTGAGGGCTTAGGTGGAATGCCTCGTTTCCAGTAAAAAGGGTCTGCGGTTCTCCACACTCACCATACAAAACACGGTAGCATTAAGCTACTATTTTACGCTGGTATTCTGTGAGAGCGTGGTCCTTCCCCGGTCGGGCCGACCCATTCGTGCTACAACTATACTACTAATATAACTGCAGCATGGCTCTACTTAAAATATAAAATTAGCATGGTTACGGCGTCATTTCAAATGTATGTTTGATCATCATCATCATTATTATCACAAGTCCACTGCGAAGCATAGGCATCTTCCACAGATAGCCACAAAGTAGGGTCCAGAGTTAACAGCATCGGACTACCCGCATCTTACATTAGAACGACACTCCATCTAGAGAGGGCGTTTGACTTAGTCTCCGGAATTTAAAAAAAAATAAATTTAAGTAAATATTTAAACTACTGACGATTCCAATAAAAAATTATTACTCTGTGTAATCTGTCAAGTTAGTTCTCATAAAAGTGAAATAATAACCCTTAGCATAATTTTTCTCAAGCCATAGTTAGATCTCGCAATAATGTAAAATAACAATGCCAGATATGCAGTACGCAAGCAAACAGCCTTCAGATAATACAGTAAGTGATTTTAAAAA